AGCTGTCTTTGCATTTTTACACAGATCCAAACAACGGCAGCATCATGCCTCCTCAGTCTGTGGATTTTGACAGCATGCCGGCATCGCAGAAGCAAAAGAGGCGTGACATGTAACCCAACAGCATCGGCCTCTAATGTCATACATAATGTATGTGTTGGCAGTGCTTTATAAACAATAACAATTGCATTAATATGATGGAAACAATCATTTACTGTCCCTGTTATATGGCGGCTGATATAGTCCTCTGCATCTCGGGTACGGAACTCCCACTGTGCTAAGTTAAGTTTTTTGGTTCCCCACCAAAAACTTTTAATGGGTTGTCACTCACTTTCTTTGTGTTGTGTGCGACTTACAGCGTCTCTCAATTTGCTTGTGTTTTTGAATTCTCAGTGCATTTCTCTGTGTCTTGTATGTGCTATGAAATCGGTGAGAGGGTTTCTTAATTTGCTTGTGTTGAGCTGTCACGGCCATCACAGATTTTCTCCCGCATTGATTTACACAGATAGAAAGATTGCTGTGGCGCACAGAAGAAACACAGAGGTGTTGTTCTGTTAGCAGAGGTAAAATCTTTTAAAATTGCACATGGTGGAAGGAAAGAGAGGTCAATGAAACAACCCAAAAAAGGGGGATTACACCACATTCATTCTCTGCAGGAGAAGCAAAGAAAAACAAGGAAGGACAAAAGGAAACATCCCAGCCAGAGGAAGCAACAAGGTTCCTGGTCTTGTGTCTTAATTTTGACAAAAACATAAAAACTGAAATGAAGCCATGAGCCATCTAATCAACTTTGATTATGGTAATTACACAAGACACAACATGATCAACGTGCCAGTGAGATGCTAATGTATAAAAATCCTGGATGTGTGTGTGTGTGTGAGTGTAATTTAGAGAGCCAGACTTCACGTTCGGGTGCCACAGTGTCATTTTGAGTCCACAGCTGTGTACATATCACACCTCCCCTCAACACAAACACACACATACACTTTACCTTGTCTCTACAGTTAATAGGATCCATAATAATGAACTTATAACAATAATAATGCAGGCGCACATACGCAGAGATAGCATGAAAACATAAGGTTTATATCACTTTGACCCTGCACCCTGCCAAAGCCCATTTACCATCACGGTCTTGTAAACAAGCCTCTTCCCTTCCTTCTTCTCTAAACATCAGCCTGTCCAGCCCAGCCCCACCTCCTGCTGTTTCCCTCCAGCACACACACACACACACACACACACACACACACGACCCATCTGCTTCTGCTCTTCAGACCTCGCATCTGGCCTGCCATGAACCATATCTCTGTTCAACACAAAAACACACACACACACACACACACATACACACACACTGTTAAGCATCAAAAAAATGAGTGGGGCCGATTCTGTTCATGCAGCATCAGAACAGAGAGGGCACGGCCGGAGATGTGAACTCCCCTCAGCTCAGCAGGAATCACAGAGCAGTTTGAAAAGGCAAAAACAAAAGCAAATCTGCTTGTGAAAGAGAGTTTTAAAAGGAAGAAAGAAAGATAGAGAAGGAATTAAATCGTCGGCGGAATGAAAAGGATGTTTTGAAATTAAAAAAAAAAAAAAAAGCCTACTGTGGGATGCTGGCACATCAACTGTTGCTCAGCGGAGGATGTGAAAGAAAAAAAAAAAGCCTCTCCCACCATCAGAAATACATTATCGTTAGCAAATTCTGATCCATACGCTCCCACAGCACCATAGCCAGCATGAGCACAGCCTGAATGGTCTCTGTGTGTGTTCCTGTATGCAAAGCTTTTGCGTTACATTATCAGAAATCATCGCGTTATCACGGGAGTTTACTGCGCATTCAGCTGCTCACCATGTGGGCTGCAGTATCCGTTGCATTGATGTGATGCTTGTGACATAGAGATGACAATTAAACACTCACACACAAACACACACATGCAGCAGACAGGAGACATCTGGTGCACTGACGATATAACAGCTATGATGCAATGTTGGCCCTTTGGTGTCAAAACACAGTTTATGTCACATATTTGCACGCAAGGACTCGCAAACTCAGACTGACACAGATAGTGATATTAGAGTGACTGGTTGATTAATCAGAAAATGAATTAGCAACTATTTTGATAACTGATTCATTCTGTGAGTGAAGATTTGCAGCATTTCTTTTACTTATACGATAATAAAATAAACATCTTTGGGTTTGTCTAGTGTGTAGGATTTAGGGGAATATACGGGCAGAAATGGAACATAATGAGTATGCTTTCTTTAGTTAGTTAGTTTCGTTACCTCAGAACAAGCTGTTTATACCTCCATACGGAACGGGTCCTTGCCCAAGGAGTCTGGCATGTTGCACACGTCTGTCCGCGACAAACCAAATATCATCATATAAACACTGATTTGTAATGTAAACTGCTTTATTCAGTGTTTTTACCAGTTTTCATCACCCACTCCATTGGTTTTGGAGAAGAAGAGACCTCTGCTGATAATTCGGCTACTCTTAAAAACATCCTCAACTATGGACACTGAAGAAATCCTAACTGTGAGTTCACGCTTGGCACACAGAAAAAGTTTGAGCTGGCATGCAATCTGCGATCCTCACTGCTAGATGCCACAAAATCCTACACACTGTTCCTTTAAGACTGTAAGGACACCACAAAACATTCATCCTGGGTTCTTGGAAAATCTGATGGCTATTTTTCTTTATTTTCTGACATTTTAGTCAAAACAATAATCCCCAAATGGAGAAAATTACCGGCTGATTAGTCTTTTATGGAAGTAATCAGGTGCTGCAGCCCAGCAGTGGCCCTGAGGTGGATGCCAGCAGGAACATATGTCCAACACAACACCCATAGGGGTCATGAGCACACACAAATACACACACACATTGACATAAGAGATCAAAGTTGAAAGAAATTCCATATTTAATATAAGTGAAACTGTTTCGTGTGTGTAAAGCAGCGCATGTAAATGCGAGAACCCGATTGTATAAGCATGCCTGTTTGCATGTACAGGAGGTATGATGCATGCGGTCCTTTGTCTGCGTGGCTGTGTGCTATTTAATTGTGCGTGTGTGTGAGGAGCAAGATGAGTGTGTGAGGGAAGATGGGAAGGAGGCTGGCCATCAGGATGTGGAGTCCATTGTCTGTCCGACAATGAAGAGATCGAGTCGGCAGGAGTCCTGTGGCTCTTTCAATGGAGGCATTAACATCTGGGGCCAGAGGGCTGCAGTGTGTGTGTGTGTGTGTGTGTCTTTGTTGCAACTGCCCTGGATAAAGCTGGATTTTCAAGGCTTTTTTTCTGACTGGAAGTAATGCAGATGTCGGGAGGCATGCTTCAACCAAACTGGGTTTTCAAACATGTCTCATTGTGACGTGCTCCAGTCATGTATAATCTTCTCTGTATATTTATATCAAGGATTACGACCATTCTTAAAGGTCTGAGAACTTGATTTTACAAATTAAAAGGTGAGCAAATTGAATTTTGGCAGGATTATCCTCCGCTACATCCCTCTACACTGTAAATGTCAACTCTCGGCTCAATGCCGGCGCTGAATTCGACCAATATATTACTTTCATTAATCTTTCCAAATGACACGGTGGCATACACAAACACACAGAACCACCCGCCCACCAACCTTATGAAAAAGAAGTCCTACAGCAAACTTCACGAGGAAATTACACACATATCAAAGCAGAAAGTGGATCCTCAAACACAATCACGCTCACATAAAGTCATCCTCCATCCCACATGGCTATAACGTGACTCCACTAACTTCACCCACAACCTTTACTGTCTTTATTTTGAAGGGCCACACTCCCCCTGTGCTGTCTGTGAGTTAACTGGCACTGGCACCAAACACCTTGTAAAAAAAAAAAAAAAAAAAAGGCAGACCCCCCACTCCTCCTCCACCGCCTCCTCCCAAACCACCACCTTTTTACACAAATCCCTGCTCACTGTCCAGTGTGGACGCCTGCCCTTCTCCTCCTCCTCCTCCTCCTCCTCCTCCTCAGTAATTACAATAATCACTCAACTGGAGCTAATAGTTACTTCATTAAGGCAAAAAGAAAAATCAGAAGGGGGAAAAAGCACTCCAAAGTAATATCTCAAGTCAGTGGATTATTGTCACCATAAGAGCTTAATTTTTGAGTGTCAGCTGAGCAAGCGGGAAATAGAGGCAGCAGTTCAAGAGCCTCATTGCTTTTATGGCATTGGAAGTGGATGAGGGCTGTCATATATAACTACTCTAACAATGTGAGACTCAGCTATTAAAATCTCTATATATGTTTTCAGCAAGATGCTTTGGAACTCTTAACTTGTGCATCTGCGTGAGCATTTGCCAAACATCTCTATTAACTCTAAAAGCCTCTCTTCAGGGAGCCAGCAGAAGTCACAAAGTAAGTTAGGGAATATTAATGGAATATTATATTGATGCCATAGAAGATGCAAAACACTATCAAGCACAGAAAGGGTCCTAAAAGTTCATGATAGAGCACCACAGATGGAAATATAACAGGCAAATAACAACATATTAACTGATTTTTACCCCTGAAGTGGTGAACAGCTGTAATTGTGGCATGCTGCACCACAAACACTGCACTGGTTAGTGTGATATTGTGCATCTTATATGTTATAGTTTCATTGCCTGACTGTGATTATGGAGCAGTGCATGCAATAGATACACAGACTACGGTGAAAGTCCGGAGTTGATTCCCTTCCAACTGCTCCTGACCGCAGTGCGCTGTGTTTACACTGCGCGAAACGAAGATAAAGTTGCATCATACTGAGCCCCAAAAGGACAACATACTACACGTCCACGATCTGTTTAGACAACGCGTTGTATCTGACGGCATCCTATTTCCAAGAAAAGGGGGCTTCATGGCAACAGTTGGAGATCCGGAGACTCCGGATCAGGATGTCTTCTACCTCTGCTTCCCTCGTCTACTTTTAATCCAGCTACCTCACAGCACTGCAACCACCATTACGACAAATAACGGCTCCAAACTTACCTTATTATTACGGTGATGGTGGTGATGATTACAGGCAACGCGTCCTGCGCTTTCCTCTCCGTCTCCCTCTGACGACAGATCCAGAATCCTTTTCTCCCCGTCTCTTCTTTCTCCGTTATCTCGGATTTGTTTCTGAATTGGAGTTATAAATTATTCCACATCTTCATCAATTTCAGATGAATTCGCCCACGGTTTCTCTCTTCTCTTTTCTTATTTCCTCTGTATTTTTTAAATGGCTGGACTACAGGGCAAATCAAGCCATACGATACTGTCATTCAGTTTCTACACAGAGGAACTGGCTCTCCGCGCAACTCCCTCCCAAGGCTTTGTAACACGAAACCAGAGGAGGAGGAGGAGGAGGAGGAGGAGGAGAAAAAAGGAGGAGAAAAAAAGCGTCAATTTATTCCACTATCTGGGACGAGCTGGATGAATCTATCCGCCTCTCTGTGCGCAGAAGTTTCAGCAGTCCGTACTAAACAAACATGCCGGAGTGGTCGTGGCGCTGCGTCTCTGTGCCAGTCTCCACTGGAAATGATGTGTGTGTGAGTGTGTGTGTGGCGCTGCAGCGTGTGTGCGCCCCCAGCCTACTTCTGCAGTACGCATCACAGCAGGGACCGGCGAGGATTTCAAAAAAGGCACACAAACAGGTCTCCGCCCATTAGCCTCTCGGAACAAGGGCCCCGACACAGACGAGGGGCCCCCAGCGGCCATTACACTGCTTGATTAAGACACTTTCATTGTGTGGAAAGTGAAGGTCTGTTTTTGGCAAAGTGCTTCCCAACCTGGAGTCTGACCTCAGACACTCAGAGGTCCTTTTAAACGGGGTGGTGTGGCTGTTAAAGAGACCATTGTTAGATTGGAGGGTCTGGTTCCTCACCAATTTCTGCCCCGCATTTAAGAGCCAGTGTGCAAGGCACCGGCACCAAACAAGCACTGCCGGACTTTTGATCTCCCTCTGTGCCAGAGAAAATGTTCCACAGAAGATCAATACGGCATTAATACAGCAATATTATCATCGCCTCTACAGTTATTGCACTGAGCTGAGGAAAGTATAATGTTGTAAGAGTAAAAATAATCTGTTGTTTTTGAGGCTCGGAGCTCTTTCCAGATGAAGCCTTTCACCTAATGTGACTTTTATAGTTTGTCATCTATTATTTTGTCTTTGTCTTATAAGAAGATCAATAAAATTATTTTAGAAATGGATGGTTTTTGGTCGAGAGCATCTTCTTGACATGAAAGCATTTGGGATCTGTGTATTTTACAGGCTATTTTATTGATTGTCCTACAAACATGAATCGCAATTTATCTGTTGCAATTATAATGAGTGGTGAGCCCTGAGAGAAGATGCCAAATAAATATCAGTGGTGGGACCTTTTACTAGTAAAATTGTTACTTCACTGAACAGAGTTTGACACTAGAAGGCTGTTTTCTCATTTATCTGATGAAGAAGGAAAGTTTCTCACATTTAACCTCAGTTTAACACGTGTACCTGCAAGCAAATGTTGTGACATCGCAACTAGTGGAAGCCAGTCATGGTCCCAATCATATACAACTTGCACAAGTGAAATGTGTAAACATGAAGCGTCCAGTGAACAGTGAGAAAGGACTTCAAGACATCTTGTGTCCAGTAGCTGTATATGACAGTCAGAGCATTAAAAGGAAATTTCAGTTTATTTCAACCTGTCTCCTATCGTCCTAAATTTGTTTCAAGTCACTAGTGACATAGAAATAATAGTTAGCATGTTAGCCGTTAGCCTAGATACAGCTGTAGCATCAGACCTGTTAAAACGTAAGTGAACGGGCAACCTTCAAGTGCAAAGTTAGTCCACTAAACAAGCTTTTTTTCCACAAAGACCACCTCATATCGTTAGAGGCATTCCTCTTCTGTGGGCATTGGGGCACAGCATTCACAGGTAACGTTACACCACCGATCTCCAGAGCTAAATCCTTCCAGCAGCCATTCCTCCTCTGTCATCCTCTAACGTTACCTGTTGTGCCTCTCTCTCTCTCCTCCTCTGTTCTTCAATTTCACGAAGCTCTCGTCAGTGTATTCCGGCTCAAATAAATAAGGGCAGCCATCGCCTCTTGATGTGGAAAGCCTATATACTAACATTCCACATTTAGGTGGTCTTCAGAGTTGTTGTCTTACCTTACCGTGTGTTTACCGTTTACCTCTGCTTCCCAAAGCGCAGCCGAAATATCGCGAGAACAAGCCGCAGCAGCTGCAAGGCAAAACCGGACAGTAGCCTGAAAGGTTCATTAATTTATTTTATGAAAGATTCATAGAATAATAGCTGACTTTTTGCCAGACTTTGACTTTGTGGAGGAGGAATTTGATTTTGCAGAGTTTTATGGCCGCCCTTATTTATTTGAGCCAGAATACACTGACGAAGAGCTTCTTGAAATTGAAGAACGGAGGAGGAGAGAGAGAGAGGCACAACAGGTAGAGGAAAAAAGAGGAGGAATGGCTGCTGGAAGGATTTAGCTCTGGAGATTGGTGGTGTAACGTTACCTGTGAATGCTGTACCCCAATGCCCACAGAAGAGGAATGCCTCTGTTGCAAGGAATGGGACCGGTTGCAGCCTTAGCTAAATGGTAAACAACAAACATGGCACCACACCGGTAAGGTAAGACAACATGTTTACATGTCGTTTTCTATATGTTCTCTGACATTTATCCTAATGATATGAGGCGATCTTTGTGGAAAAAAAGCTTGTTTAGTGGACTAACTTTGCACTTGTTCAATTAAGTTTTAACAGGTCTGACGCTACGGCTGTATCTAGGCTAACGGCTAACATGCTAACTATTATTTCTATGTCACTAGTGACTTGAAACAAATTTAGGACGATAGGAGACAGGTTGAAATAAACCGAAATTTCCCTTTAATATAGCAGCAAACCAATTTTACTAAGTCAAGATAAAGTGGAGTAATGGCATCTTAACTCTTGTCTCTCTTCTTTGTTGTGGTTGACAGTATGGCCGTGTGTTCATGTTAGTGAGCCCTGTGTGGGTATACTGGCTAGCTAATTGCCACTGCTCAGCTCTGCGCTTAAATGGTGGTTAGTGCTGATATTGGGACAACGTTGTTGTGGAAGTGTAGCATCCACCCTCCGGTGTACCCCTGGTTTACACCATTAGCTTTGTCAGCACTGTTGCCTTTTTCAGCATTGTTCACGCTGTTAGCACTGATAGCTAGTAGCCGCCGAGTCAGCAACCTCCTTGTTGAGAGCCGTGTGTGAACAACCTCTGAATCATATGGTGCATTACATTTGCACTGGGAAGTAGGAGTTTCCAGACAGAAATTTCAACTGGAATGCTCCCTGAACTCTGATTGGAGGAACCTCCCCAACCTCAACCTCAAAAATCAAGGTGGCCGCACATCAACAGTGGTGACGCTGCTGTAATGTACTGATTATTAGCACTTCTGTCTCATTTGTGTCTTATTAGACAGACAAAATTAGACATGTTGCTACAAAAAACAGTGCAATGCGTGGTATAAACTGGTATTGCTGGATATGGCTAACCAGGCTAGAACTGGTATTGCTAACAACATTTTGGTATTCTGACTTGTTGTAGCCCATTGGAACACAGTCAACTCAAATGTGACGCCATTCCCAGCTCCAACCTTCGACTTCTGAGTTAAACTGAATGCAGCGTTGGATACGCTCTGAATGTTGTAAACAGATCCTTTAAACGAAAATTAACAATATCTGCATTTTTGTTTATTCTAGATTTTGCAATAAGTTTTCATCAAGTTAGGTTAACTGATTTTTTTGTGTGTGGGAAAACCATACCAGACTCAAATTATTAATCAGTGTATCTTGTATGTGTCTTAAATCTCTTCATCTTCTACTGTAATAGTTTATCCATATGACAGAAATGAAGGATTGTACTATCATGTTAACATGTGTTCAAGCTGGCCTGTTAATTAGGAGCAAGTAAGTTGAAGTTCATTGTCCTGGCTAAGGACAGCAGGAAGAGTTAGGGGTTTTTTTGCCATCAACTCTGAGATTAATGTCCACTTTACTCTTGAGCCAAAGTCACTCTACTATACGCAATCACATTGGGGAGCAAGTCACTTATCATGTACACAACATCGCTCATGTTGTATATTGCTTAGTAGTTACTCTTAAAGGGATACTGCAGCAATTTAGTACTGCACCCATAAATTTGGAGGACTAACAAGAGACACATAAAAAAGAATGGGCTGAATCAAAGCAGCAGAGTGTGAAATATAATGACTTTCAGTCCCTGTGGGTCAAGCTCCAAAAACACCCAAAATGCAACTCAACAGTGTTTTTTATTAGACCCCCCTTGCTTTTAAGTGCCCATGTCTTCCAAACTCCACATGTTCACTTTGTGACTCAGGCTTTATGTTTAAAACGTTGGGTCTCTAAGCCCAAGCCGAGATAACCTTGATGTCAACAGACATTACACAACTGTGTTCCTCTTGTGCTGAACTAAATGTGTGAAATCTGTGGAATGCCCTTTGATAACTAACTGTATAACAACATCAGAGTTGTGGAAGAGGAGGTAACACTGTAGAGCACGATGCAAATAATGCTATAGCACAATAAAGCTAGAAGCAATGTAGGCACACATAAAACGAGACATCTGTCCATCATTTTGTTGCCCCGATGCATGCTGGGAGGTTTCCCCTCAGGCCTACATTAGGATGCTTCGATGTAATCTCATAAAAACTACTCAGTTGTGGTTGAGTACAAGAATAAATAAATAATTTTAGACTGCTGGAATACAAAACATACAATGAGTGAACAACAGCCCGTGCATGTTTTTGTCATTATTGTTATTATTAATATGCAGTCTCTACAGAGGACAAGACATGGGGTTATGATCTGAAGATTAAGTGTACAGATTAGAAGGCAAATATTAGAATGATAATCTCTATGGATTAGCGCAGAATGATGCACATTATTTATGTCTCAGTATAAGTATTGATGTAGCTGCTGACAGCATGGGGCCTTTTAACCCCAGCACAAATCAATAAACTAAGACTGACATAGGCTATTTTCCAAAGACAAGGCCAAAACATCTTCGACTTTGTATCTGCTGTCAGTTCTTTCACTGCAGGAATACATTCAGCACTCTAACTCCTACTTACTGCTGTCTGTAAGCATGTGTCTGGCACCCCTCAGCCCTGCCTGATGCTAAACTGTCTGCGCTGTCTGAATTTACATGCCGCCCGACAAACGCTGTGAAGGTAGTTGCCCAAATCCTCACACAGACAGATTACCAAATAAACAAGGATTGAATTATAATGCTCATAATCTCACACACACATCAGGTTGTAGACACTCTGGCACAGATTTGTTTGGTTCGGGAGTTAATGAGTTTGGATTTAGGACACTAATTTGGAGTCGGACTCTCATTCCGCAGTGTGTTAAAAACAGCTCAGTGATGGAAATGAGAAGTAGCACGGCCTGGGGCCACATCAAGAGACACTGTTGAGAAAATGTGGGTTCCGTGCTAGAAAGTTGTGCTTAGTATGATGAATATGGGCTTCTAGGAATTCAAATAAAAAATACAGCATTTTTTAAACAAGGATTCCTCCA